GAAACCAGGACACATGGATGATAAGATAGGTAATCAAAGGCTTTGGCTGACTGGTGACTATCAGAATGGAAGATGTATACCTATTAGCACTAGTAAGAGACTTTTAAGCCTTTGTATCTCCCATTCTCCAAGGCACTAAGAGTTCTCGTACCGAAGAGCTCATAAGTTGCAGAGACTGTTTTGTACCTTGTAGCAATAATCTGCACAGTTTTTGTTTATACTGCAGCATTAATTTAATGGTTGCAAATACAGGCAATATAGGAAATTTATGACTTCTCAATAATAAAACATAGAATTAAGTCAGATTCATGAAATGAGATGCGTGTTAAATGAATACAGAAACTGGTGCCCAATGAGGTGTATGTATTTTTTATCATGTTAGTATTCTGAAATGTGAAACCTAGGTTTCATCAAATTTTATGGCAAAAATGGTCTCATTGGATTTGTGGGAGTGCAGCAGTGCAGTTTTTTTTAAGAAGGACATTTTTTCACTAAAAATCAGAATTCTATTCAATTGCGGTTTCTACCATGGTATTTACAGCTAGTTACTGTTTAATGTACCTTTATGCCACTCAGCTGTTTTCTCCATTTGATCTCAAAGCAGTTATACTGAGTAAAATCATGAAGTCTTAAGTACATGTGGTGATACAGTTCAAGCCATAGGCTTTGGAAAGCAACAGTAGTTGAGAATAAATGAAGTGTGACTCCTGATGGTATAAGATTAGTAAACAAGATTATACCCAACAGAGAAAGAAAACTTAGGGAGGCAGAAAGTTATTAGAAAGAATTTTGGCTTAATTTCCCAGGGCTTTCTCACTGAACTTTTAATGCTAGGAAAATTATCATATGATCTTGTGGTGCTTTGATGAGAATTCTGTCATTATCTTGTGTGACATTAGAAAAAGTCTTTCAATACAACAGAGAAAACTTAGGGAGGCAGAAATTTATTAGAAAGAATTTTGGCTTAATTTCCCAGGGCTTTCTCACTGAACTTTTAATGCTAGGAAAATTATCATATGATCTTGTGGTGCTTTGATGAGGATTCTGTCATTATCTTGTGTGACATTAGAAAAAGTCTTTCAATACAACAGTGCTGTGTGGTACCATTTTCAATCACTGGACTTGTACCACAAAATACAGAGTGATATCCTACCAATTTCATAGTGGATAAGTTGTTCTTAGAACCTCCTATCCAATACTGAACCTGACCTGAGCTTATTTAGCTTGTTATGCAGAAGCAGTATGCTTTGAGGTGATGTTACACACTAGGTCAGTTTGAAGAAAATACTGCTTCCCAGGCACTGTGGATGTGCAATGTATGTGTGGAATTTTTGGTATAACACCTTACATTTGTAGATATTTGTGTTTTATCTATCATCTTACCATAATGCACTTTCAGCTCTTGATTTTTGTTCTTTTGTTATGTGACTTTTGTCTAATGTATAGTGACTTTTTTAATTAAAGATAATTTTTTTGTTTTCTGGCATCTGGCTACAATGTGGAAAAGTAGGATTTTTTTATGGAAAGTCAGAACTTCAGTAATAGTGAAACCTGGAATTATAGATAACCTGTTAATTTACAGATTACCATCTAACAAGGATTTCTTTTCTCTTTGCAGTGTTGCCAATGGAGGTACTAATGTACATTTTCCGATGGGTGGTTTCGAGTGACTTGGACCTAAGATCATTAGAGCAATTATCTCTTGTTTGTCGAGGATTTTACATTTGCGCCAGGTATTGTAGATAAGTTATCTAGAGTGAAACTTCTCTCTGCTCTAAGGAAGAAAAAAGAGCTTTTTTATGCTCAAGCATATGTAAACAGTATATAGAGGTGGATAATAAATCCATAGAGCAAAATTGCCTGTGTTGGAAAGGTGGGTTGTTTTTTTTTTTTTTCCTTTAGGCTGCTAAATCGTACATGTAGGACTGTCCTGCTTTTTCTTCCCATGGTAATTTTCATGTTATGCTCCTCACAGTGCTAATCAGCTTTTGAATACATCACTAAATGGTATGTTAGATAGATGACTTCACTGTAATAAAAAATGTTGCTGAAAGTCTTACTTGCTCTACCTTGTTTGAAAGGCAGAGTTGCAAGATCTCCAAAATAATGTCTGTTGTGTTATCATCCTCATATGGCCACACAGAGAAGCGCCAGGCTGCTGCAGTGTTGTTCTGTACTTGGCTGAAAATGGCATTGTGTTCTTTAATTTCACTAGGAAGAGGAAGTGGCTTTCAAACACTCCAGGATTAAGTAAATTAGTCAATGATTTTAAATTATGAGCCATTGTTGTTCAAGAAAGTTTCTTTCAGTTGCATCCAAACTAAATAATGGAGTGTGTTACTTTGATATATAAAAGCTAAACAAAGTTTGCAGGAAAGTTACGGGGTTTGCTTTTTTCTCATTTTTCCTAGAGATCCTGAAATCTGGCATCAAGTCTGTTTGAAAATATGGGGCAGGAGCTGCAATAAACTTGTTCCATATGCCTCTTGGAGGGAAATGTTTTTGGAAAGGCCTCGCGTTCGATTTGATGGTAAGATGTACTTTTGGAAATAGTTCTGGTTTTTTTACTGCATGTAACCGTGACAGAAGCAATCAGGTGGGTTTGATGTTTCTGACATTGTTGTTAGACCTAATCTGAACTTGTTCGGGCTTTTGAGTCTGTAGAGAGTCTCTCTGTAAAGAGAAGGGAAGGGTGCAAGGCACAAAAATAAAAACTTGCATGTATTTAAGTAACAAAAGTAAACTCAAAAGTTTTAGATTATTGGTTTTTTCATCTTAAATATTTCAGGTACTTAATTTTTGTTCGTATACTTATATCTTCCTTTCCTGTAGGTGTATATATCAGCAAGACAAAATACATACGTCAGGGAGAACAATCTCTTGATGGTTTCTATAGAGCGTGGCACCAAGTGGAATATTACAGGTAGAACTGTAGTACAATGAGTGAGTGAAATGTTTCTCTCTCTTAAGTTCTTTAGATCCAGCCCTTGATATCACAAACATTAATCATTCTGTAAAACTCAGTGGAACTACTACAGTGTGTAAAGCTATGTATATTTTTTGAGAATAGGACTTAAGAAATAGGATTTATTATGATAATTAGAGATGGCCTTAGAAACACATTTCATCCTCAGTTATACCATTTCATGTGGATAAAACTTAAACAGTAACAACAGTAATACTTGTCCACAGATTTCTTTCCCCAAATCACTTCTGCTTTACATTTCTGATGTAATAATTGTTTTCACCAAAGGAAAAAAAAGTGATTACACAAGAATTGTCTTTTAACTTATTTGTGGCCAATTGTAAATAATCAAGAGGCTGGGCTTTCTCAACTTGCTGTAAATACCTTGCCATTTGTTTCCTCAGCCCGTTTTTCTGCTGTTTTTCATCCTGCTGTTCCCTGCATTTATTGTTCCATTCTGCTGTCCCTTCTGAGGCTGGAAACTGTTACTAGAAGTCATTGAATCTCATGGCTATTTCTATAGTCTCACAAACATCGGCACAGTATCTGAGTACTGTAAAAAATGGTCAGATCCCAGAACCTGAAAAATGTGACATTGTCCATTCTGTACTGATACTGTAATTAAGATTTTGTTGCATTTGTCTCAATCAATGCTAGGAATGGAGAAACTTAACTTGAGGTCAGTTTTGATTCCAGGGTAGCCTTCTTGCTTTGATTAGAGGGGACAAAACTCCTGAACTTCTGCCCTCTTTCATAACTCTTCATAACTTGATCTTTTAATCTTCAAAACTCTCTTTTGATTTCTGATCTCTTTTTTCTGTTACATCATGTGTGAAGAAATGTGTTTTCAAATCCTATTACCTGTTAAGTTCTATATCCTTCTGGGAAACATCTTGTGATTTAAAAAAAAACCCACAACAAAAAAAGGATATGTTTTCTAGGTTTGTATTGTGTGATTATATTTTTGCAGGTATTTGAGATTCTTTCCAGATGGTCAAGTTATGATGCTAACAACTCCTGAAGATCCTCAATCTATAGTTCCTCGCTTACGGACTAAAAATACAAGGTTATTGAAATAAAATATTTGGCTCTACAGTTTTCATCTTGCTTTTAGCTGGCAATTTCTATTTACTTTTGTCTCGGATTCTATATCCTGGCTTAGCAAAACGAGAGTAAAAATATAATGTTATTTATATTGTGTTATTGATGTTTATAGTTCTCTTCTGAGAACTACAAAAAATTTTGGTCTTTATGCAAAGGTATCTTTCATTTTAAGGTCGTCATATTGTAATTAGATTTCCTTCGTGGGTTATGTGATTTTAAACTTTTAAAGGAAGTAGGTGGAAGGATACATGCTATTAGCTTGGTGGTTTTAGAATCCTTTTAAAGATACTATTTTGTAATTGACTGCCTTCTCGCACTTCCTTGACTGTTTGAAGGAAAGTGAAGATTTTGGTGGGATATGACTAAATTATTGCTTGATTTCTTTTTTATGTTTGCACAAACTTGTTAAAAACACAAAATCGTTTGCAACTTCAGAACAGGCTTGAGCTGTTCATCAGAAGTCTGAAAATATTCAGCAGTAGGCTAGGTAGAACTGACTAACTTATCTTTACTGTCCTATCTGGGAAAATTAAAAGCAGCCTTCCAAAATGTTTTCATCATTTCATATCATCAGTGAGCCTGGTATTTTACTAAATGGAAATAAAAATAGTTTCCTTGATTGTGATATGCAGTCAGTCTTCTTTTCATTGCTGATATTTATAGGTACATCATTCTTTTGAGACAGGGAATATTTTTATGTCCTTGACACTATCCTCCTCTTAACCTTCCAGAACGGATGCAATCTTGCTTGGCCATTATCGCCTTTCCCAGGAAACAGACAATCAAACCAAAGTATTTGCTGTAATAACAAAGAAAAAGGAAGAGGTAGGTAGCAAAATAGAATAGCAGAAAAATAGTTTAAGGAGGTGGCTTTTTCTCAGACTGAATATTTTAAGGCACCTGAAGATTTGCATTACACCAGAGGATTAAAAAATGAATTTCATTTTTTAAATGGTTTAAAAATAAAATATAAATAAGCATGGTGATTTATCTTACTTTTTTTTTTCCCAAATCTGTAATAATCTTTTTGTTAAGACAGCTAAATATCTGGTTCACATTTGAGCAATGGTTCTCCCCCTTAGGCTTAATTGCCATGTGTGGTGCTATTAGGTAGTTTGTTAACATTGTTAACAAACAGAAGGGAAGGATGAGGAGGTCATTTTCTAAGATCAGTTTTGACTGGGTGCAATTATGTTCCACAGCATTAAATAAAACTAAATAAGTAGTATTCATTAATTGAACTCTGAATGATTTGGTCAACTTATTTACATCACAAAATTTTCTGATTACAAAGTGTCTGTCAAGAGAAACTTGTGAAGAGCTAGAAAAGTGTTACATTACTTTACAGTGAGTTTGCATAGTTTGGGTGGTGTCCTCCATGCTTATCTTACTTTCTGTGAAAACTTCTTCCATAATTAACATCTAAATTTCAAGGAATACCAGTACTTGCTTTTAAGTATGAGAGTTTAACAATCTGTCCTCACATTTACTTACGCCTCAGGATAAATAGTTGCACAATGTGCTCTTTGTAGGTCATGAAACTTGTTTTCTCTTTGTACAGAAACCAATTGACTACCACAAATACAGGTATTTCCGCCGTGTTCCTGCACAAGAAACAGATCACAGTTTTCATGTAGGACTACAGTTGTGCTCCAGTGGGCGCCAGAGGTTCAACAAACTTGTCTGGATACATCATTCTTGTCACATAACTTACAAGTAAGTAAGTGGGGAATAAGATCAAAGAAGGATACTTAACTATAGAAACACAGGTGACATTAATTTATCCAGTACTAAGTACAGAAGATGTAAAGGCTGTGAGACTTACAAGGCTTTAACAAAATGTCCTGAGTTGATATATTGTAATGAACTTTTACTTTAAGAAACCCCAGGATTTTGGTAACTTTTTATAATGGTATGGGAAGTTTCCGAAGTAGTAGAACTGCAGTATTTTAGCCATTTAAAGGATTTATGCACAGTGTTGGAATGATTTCAGAACTGGGTCAGGGTTGAATGACTTAGTGTGGTACTAGTAAAGGGGTGTGGAAAACATACTCATTAAGGTATATTTCTTTTCTTCTGTGGATGTGCATGGTAGAAATGTCTTCACCCATCATGTGAGAACTGTTAATGCTTACAAACTATATAATCCAAAGTGCAAAATACGGGCATGTGACCAGCTGTTCTGATAACTAACCAAGCAAGAGCCGTGGCCACTGTTCTTGCACCTGACACTCTAAATTACTGGCAAGTTGTCTGTCCAGATGTTTGATGTTGGCATTTAGGGTGGATTTAGGCCTCATCTTCCAGTCATCTTAATCTCTATATTCAGTGTTTTTGTAGAGACATGGCTCAGCTACTGAGATGTAAGTATATAAAACCTAGGAAATAAACTAGTAGTGGTTGGGAGTATAGGTAACTTCCATAAACAGAAAAATTGCTTTTATAAAAACAACCTAATTTATGAAGAAGTGGCAATATCACAGACATTCTTTTCAGCATGAAGTTTCTGTACTGCTCAGGTTCTGCTGTACCTCTCAGTATGGTGGTGCCCTTTTGAAACTAGAATAAAGATGAGTATAAAACACAGCTAGGAGGACATATGCTTCTTGTCACTGATGTTCAGAAATACTTGGGTTTCTTCTTTTTAAAGTTTTGTAAACATAAAGTTTTTGCTGTCACTCTGTGTTCTGAATTCAGGGTTCTAAGTGAAACAAATGAAAGTTGGTTGTTTTTTTTTTTACTTTAATATTAATATGGTGACTTGAGTGACATCCTGTGCTGTTTCAAGTCTTGGAGCTAATAATAAGAATGGAAGGGGAAAGTGCTTTCTTTGATATTAAAATAGAAGTGTATTCTACATAGTGTGTTTTGGCCAACATTCAAATGCTTTCAGAACGAGACAGTATGAAAGATGCTTACATTCCAGCTGTAGTTAGGTGCACACACTGTACTGTGGAACATGATTGCATTATTGAGGGACTTAAACAGCAACTTAAGTCTAATTTAACTTATACAATACTCTTTGCAGATCGACTGGTGAGACAGCTGTTACTACTTTCGACATTGACAAAATGTACACCCCTTTGTTCTTTGCACGAGTGAAGAGTTTTACTGCATTTTCAGAAAAGCCGCTCTAAGAAACACCTTTTCCTCTCACAACTCTTGCATGAATAAAAGGTTGTAGCTAATGAACACTTAAGTTATAAATGTGTATATATTTGGAACATTTTAAAATTTGGGGAATTTTTTGAAGGCAGTATGTTCTATTTGATTATGAATGGCTGGGGTTTTGTTTTGAGATCAGGCTTATGAGTATTAAACCCCTTTACTTTGTGACAAGAATTTGATAACAAAGTTTTGTTGTTTGGTTTTGTTTATTTGTTTGTTTGTTTGTTTTTAAACAGATTTTATAAATCAGACTGCTTAAAATGTGAGTCTTCATCTGCCTGGACACTGGTTTGTCCAAAAGGAAAATCTCGCTGTCCATGGGACAGTGTGTGTGGGGTCTCTGGTGAAGGCTTGAAATGTGAGGGGGAGAAAGTTGTCTTACATCTGTTAAACTGTGTGACTTAAAAGAACTTCAAATAAATGTTTTCTTTAAATTAAACTTATTTTGTTTGCCTTTAAGATCTGGCATTTTGTCAACATCAACCTTAAGAAAAAACAATCAAGGGCAAGCAAACATGATGTATAAAATTTAACTGCAGAGGTACATCCCCACCAATGCAGTGATGTCAGTTGGTCATAATGTAATTTGATCCTGATAGAAGTTCAGTGGAGCCTGCCTTCGCCACAGGATGGGCATGAAGGGGAGAGCAAGTGAGTTGTTCTCTTGTTCTGTAGAACGAGTTTGCAGGGTATGTGGCTCCGCTTGGGAAGTGTCACAGGGCAATGGTGAAATGCTGGTGTGTACTGCTTGTGCATTGGCCAGATCTGAATGCACAGGTAAGCAGGGCTCACTTGGACGTGATTGTAATGTGTTATAATTCTTCATCTAACCTTGCTCCAGATGCTGTAAACCCTTTGAGCATTTGTTGTACTAAGATAAATTTTGAGGCTGCTGTAGATGTTCAGGTGCTGTGTACTGCTAATGATGAAGTGTACCTTGAGGTTTGGTGCAGGTACTGTACGCTGCTTCTCCTGCATATATCGCTTGGGGGTGTAGTGCAGACACTGTAATGCCGCTTATTTTGTATGTATCTTGGATTCTGAAAGAACTGAAGCTTTTTAGTGTAGTTTTTTAAAGCCATTTTGCATAATTTACCTTTGAACATCTTGTTTCAAAATACTGACCTGGACTTGAGGACTAAAATGTGAAAGCTGTGGGAAGAACTATACTTGTTCCATAATTTATAAAGTGTATCTTTGCAAGGAGCTACATGATTAAAAATACATCAATAAATCATGATTTTGAACATGCAATCCCTTGCAATTTCTTATTTTGCCAAGAAATCATTATTTTCATACAGTTAAAGATGATGAGTTAGGAGTTACCATGCATAAACTACGTGCTAGGCAAGACTGACAGATAGAATTAACTTCTTAATGACTTTTTATTATACTATAGGTATAATAAATTATACTATATACTTACAGGGTATCTGAGAAAAGTAGAGGAGCTTTCAGGTACATGGGTTCTGAATAAGGCTGTGTATATCTGAAACGTTGTGCCTTTTCTAGCTAGTCTAATAAGACTCTGCCTATAACCCTTCTTTGGCCTATGTCCTTAGACTGCAGTTGCACTATTACTTCATACAACAGAACATTTAATAAGGAGTGTATTGTGTTCTCATTGCTGAAGGGAAAAATGATTGCTTAGAATATCAGCTTAATGTTTTGAAATATTGTCAAGTTTGTAAACAGGGAAAGGTGTTAGTTGCCTACACTTTTGTTGAGGGTGAAAGATACAGATCTGATTCTGCCTGCTGGGAAATGTCAAAAGTTTTTGTCACAAGAATCAAAAGATGATACCGATTATTTGTTTAGGTATAGTTTTGTCCAGTAACCAAGTTGGATGTGGTAGAAGAGGCTTTCAATTCAAAACTGTTTTCATACCAAGACTTACCTGCTGCTTCTGAGTTTTTGGTTTTTCTTGCCTTGGACATGTGTTTGAAATATACTCGGGGCATAAAGGAAAAGCTAGCTAATGTTCTGTTATAAATTGAGATGTTGATTCAACAGAAGTCTCAGGCAATGATTATTTTAAGATTGTATGAAATATTCCTTCACCAAGAAAATTATATGAGCCTTCTATCTGTGAGACTGAGCTGTGATTAATACACTTGTTCCTCTGCATTTAGCGGTACAAGAAAGTCAAGCTAGTTTTGTCTTTCAAAATGGTTTATCAGCAGGTACTGTCTGTTCACGTGCAGCTATTAAAATAGTACTTGTTTCAGCAAAGAAATGGGTGACTAGTTGCTTTTCCTTCATTCTATCTAGTGATTTTCAATAGTCCAGGGCTTTAGTTGCTGGAGGCTCTATGTTCTTATCATTTAGTTTTATTGTCCTTTTAATTACCATATGAAGACATTAGTTGGTATAACTAGTTTACTGCTGGGAAATTGTAATTTACTAATTATATTAGTAACTTGAATAAAAGAATAAGGTATACACCTATGCAGTCCTTTTTCCCAAGAGTTTATTGTATGAGTTGAGACAAATTCACTTACAGAAATGGAAGGAGGGCTACAAGAGGTGACAGAAACATGGTTCTCAGAGCTGTAGATCTCATTTATGCATTGGATTAAAGACAGCAGGGTGGACAGTTTTGTGGAGAGAAGATGCTCAGATGATCAAATGTTATGCTGATTTGACTCAGTCTAATTGGAGATTAACACCAGTGTGAAATGCTGGGCTGTGGATGGGGGGAGGAAGTAGAGATGGTGTGATTCAGCGCTCTGAGCAAAGGGCCTTCAGACACTTTCCAACTGCTAAATTCAGCTCCTGATTCACTCGGTAACCGTGAGCCAAGTTGGTCAGAATTTCAGAAACACGTGGTGTTTACACAAGTTTTTTTGTTTAAGGAAAGAAAACAATAGAGTCCGTTTTGATTTTTTTAATCCAAGAAAATTCCCCTGGAATGCGTGCCAGTGTATTTGGAAACTTTTGTTGACGTTAAAATGGCTGAACTGTTGAGGTGCTTTTCCGTTTTGTCTTTTCTACTGTCCAAGATGAGAAAAATATAAAAGCTTATATACATTTGCAAAACAGTTTGGATTTCAGAAATTAATGTTACATATGTTATTTAGTATTAATATCACCTTTAAAGAAATCAACGACTTCCATTTGATAGTCACTCAGTCTGGATTCAAGCTTTGTCCTTCATGCTAAGACTAGCAGCTTTCTTAGTAAAATGACTTGCATAATTGTTAAAAGGAACAGTTAGTGATTTGCCTTACCTCTGTCTTGTCCAAAGCATAATTCCCAAGTCCTTAAATAATTCTTAAAACCACAAGTCCTAGATAATGTTGGCTGAAACAAAGGATTTGGAAGAGAAACAATAGTCTGCTATTGAATAGAGCTCTTTGGGATGTCTAAAAGTGGCATCCTCTCTTAGCTAAAACTGCTTTCAGCTCTGGTAGCGTAGCCCATTTGAAAGGCTTCAGATGTACCACGCTGATGTGTATCTATCGTTCAAGGCAGTAAGAGACAGGTGTTAAAATTACAGTATAGTGTGATTTTATGGAACACATTCAGAGTACGAATAGAAAAAAAAATCATGAAACATGACTGCTTCTGAAGACAATATTCCTGCATCTTTTAGGATTGACAGCCTTCCTACCTTGGCAACTGCAGGTATTCTGACATCTTTTGAAGATGTCTGTAGCACATTTATTAATTTAGCCTCAGAATGCTCTGAGAAATAGCTGGATATGATGCAGAGCTAAGAAAAGTAAGACTAGTAAATCCTGCCAAATTAAATTTTTCTTTAATGTGGAAAACCAAGATGAGTAGACATTTTTTCCACACATTTTATTTCTGAATGAGTTTTCCCTTGAGAAGATACGCACAAGCACTGTGAACCCTACATGTTTCCATTTTACACCCAAAGCTAAATTTATACCCAAAGTAAATTTCATTAATTCTACTTTCATAAAGGAAAGAGATTGCTAAAGTTGCTAAAACAGAAGTTCTGCCTGATTTAGTTTGCAAACTTTTTATTTTGCAAAAGGATTTGCTTGCTTCCCCCCTGCCCCGAAAGTAGCGCTACCCCTTGCAGGTTGTTGCAGCTTAGTAATAAACAAAAGCTTTGGGATGCAACTTCCTGATATGTGTTTACTGGTACCAATGCACAATGTTGCTGTTCTGCCATTAGGTGGCATGCCACAGTTTGAAGTTTTCTTTTGTACTTAATAAACTAAGTATATTTATTTTTCTCTACAGCTTATTTAAAATTTGAGAACATTCCAGGAAAAATAGAGAAAGTGCAACAAGCAATAGTTTAGCATTACGTTTAGCCTGCCAAACGTTCAGCTTCTTAGGCTTCTGCACTAGTAAGACATCCACGATAATACAACTGAATGGGAATAAACAGAAAGGCCAGTTCTTCAAAGGGATTTTAAGTATCTGGATCTCAGAGTGGAGCCTTCAGTCCTGAGTTTGCTTCCCAGACTCCAGGAGGACGGCCTCCAAATGGGATCTGAAGCAGCCAATATGTAAAGCGGGAACATCCTTATATGACGGAGGATGATGCACTGAAAAGAAGTGCGTCTTAGCCACTGCCGCTTGGAGAGCATATGTTCCCAAAGCAGCAGTCATCGTTTCAGTCCCTGCCCTGCTCTGAACGTTTCTGTTCAGAGTCCAAGTTTGCTAGGGCAAGGTTGTTGGCCCTAGCCAGGGTCAGGCAGACATGCTTTTGGGGGGTTTTGGTCATCCTGTCCTGCAGTACGTATAATGAATGTATTTGTTGTAGAACAGCTTTAATAAGGAAGACTGAATGTCTTCCCAGAAACCCTATAAAACTGGTAAACATGGATATGAATGGAGTACCTCAGCCAGAGGAGAGAGGTGAACCCATGAGCTGAAAGTGGTTTACCTTCTATGCGGATCTCCTCCAAACTTTGATGTTGCATCGCCTGCTATCTTTGGGAAGCAAAAAGGATCAATCCTTTCTCATATTTTTAAGAAGATACTGCAGGGGTGTCGCACTACAAGGGGAATTCAGGAAGGTCCTTCCTACACTGCTAAAAAATTGGGTTTAGGTATAGTACTTCACACTTCAGTGTTTATTAACCTGGGTTGGCCAATTAAGATATGTTTATAGGGACATTAATTTTTATCAGCTCTCAGTTGCAGATTTGAAGAAAAAAAAAAAGTACAAAATATTGGTCCTTTTTCTCCTCTTTTCCATAAATCCCAGTGTCCTTGCCTCCTGACTTGATCTGTGGTCACACAAACAGCTGACTTTGCTTTTAAGATAACTGGGGGAGCAGACCCCTCAGGGCTGGTAGGGAACGGGATTCGGTGGCTTAGTGGAAAAGGCACAAATCTCTTCATATTATAAAGGACATTTGATAAACATGTATGAAAGCAATAATCAGTTACAAACAGTTTTCATTAAGAGTATATGTATCAGGGGTTTTAGGGTTTTTTTTCCTAGCTGATCTATCCCAATGGCTGTGGCATCTTCTTCAAGAGCAGCAATGCTGGAGATCAAAACGTAGAATCTTTTTGCCACCATGTCTGACATGATGTGCAGAACGAAAATGCTTGGTCCTGAGCTACATGACGCAGAGCTGGCTCTGCACCTGCTGGGGATTGCTGACCTGTGCTCGGTAACCTGCATGTACAGAAAGGGCCAGCTGCACTAGAAGCTACTTAGCGGAAGCTGTATTTAAGCTAAATGTAATTGTTCTTTTTCCGGCACAGCCAAATCGTTCCCTGTACAGATTAATATAGGGGTGGGTATCATCAATCTGATTGCTCCTCAAAAGCTTTTCCACTTTCTCTTTATAGTAAGCAATGTTAACTCACAACTCGTTTCAGCTGAATCCTTCTTCCCATACCTCACTGATTTTTTTGGGGGTGTGGGGGGGATACCCAAGGAAAAGATTGTTCCTATTATACAACCTTCAAGAAAACTTTTGAAATTCAGGGTACTTTCCACAACTTCTGTACTTTGGTTTCAGTAAAAATCAATGAAAAGGTCTTTAATTTGTTTTGGATAATGTGACATCTGCCTTAAATGACAAATGCAAATAGAGTGGATTGGTTCAGTGCTGCCTGGAAATTTAATCACATGGAGAAGAAAATATTGAGTACCCTTAAACTCACCTTGAGTACACATATTAGTAATTGACAGTGTCTAGACAGATGGTGATCTGTAAAGTAAAGTCTGGGAAGAATAAACTTACAGATATTAAAGTCAGCTGCATTTCCCAGTGGTAATAAATTGGGAAGATTGGGGGGGTTAACTTTCATAGCAGCCGACAAAACAGTTGCCAGCAGTTTTGTTTGGAACCTGCTCCCTCTTTAAGAAGTGTGCCTTTTTAAACATTTCACATAAAAACCCACCGAAGTCTGTAGAACCTGAAAAACTACCACAAAAAGTAATCTGATGATAAGATGAATATTTGTCTGGGTATGTGCAACGCAGTGAATCAAGTTTTTCTTCTTCCCTCTTGAAGGACTCTAAATTAGAGTCTTTTATGAGACCAAAATCATACAGTGTATCGTCAGCATGTGGTTACTGTTGTTCACAGGAATAAAAAAAATAACGATGGGTCACACTGTTGATCAGCTGGTGAGCTTCGGCACAGCGGCGTTCCTGATCATCTTATGCTAAAATCGCATTTCTGCTTCTCATCAGCCCTGGAAGATGGTTTGCTATAGAACAATTGTAACCTAAACAAAGTTTAAACTTATGGCATATGAACAGAGAAAAGATTACTGTTACCCCAGTTTTACAGTCAAACCTGAGTTAAGATTTTCCAAAAGACCTAAGAGAACTGGTTGCTGTGCTCTGCTTCAATTCAGTGCTCTTTGCCCTGCTGTAGGACTTCAGGACTACTAAAATACAGAGGTATTAGAGTGATGAAAGGTTGAAAATGTGGATAAAAGTAGGAGTCTGCAAGTTTTTCAGGAGCCCTCGTGTTTCAGAAGTGTGCAGAGTATGCCTACTGGTTTGGGCAGCGTCTGTATGGCTAAATGCAGGGTGGGCTGAAGCATGGTGACACAAACTACGTCTTTCTATGCTACTTGCCTTGGGGACGGAGCAGCCGCGCAGTTGTAGGCACAGCCCAAACGGTGGGGCTTGCTCTTTTGCTGTGCAAGAGTCTCTTCTCGGGAGGACGCTGGCTGAGCCAGGCACTGGCTGTATGCCTTCGTCATGAGGCATTTGGGGTTAATGATGGAGATACCTGGCCAGGCAATCCTAACTGTAGCTATGCCCAAACCACCCACATTCCACATAGACATGATCTTGGCCTGCACAAATTGTTTGAGAGCTTAAGCTTTCTCTCATTTTGCTCTGAAGCTTTCCTGAAGCCTAGGCCTGGGAGCAGGCTTGATTCCTTGAATGGGCAAGAGCCAGACAGAGAGAAAGACACTTGTTTCCGAATCGGAGAAAGAGTTATGTTGTGGTTACACAGGTAGAGCTGATCACATGTAGGAACTGAGCTCCGTGGAGGTAGTTCCAAGTTCCCACAAGTCTGTGCCTACTAAATATGCACAGCGAGCCTGCATGGTTAGGATAAAGTAAAACAGGACTTTTATTGCCTTGCTATAACTCTGCATTTATCAACAGGACTAGGATGGGATAACAGCTGGTAACGTTATAGTCGTCACGGAGATGAAGAGACTATATTGATGAAAAAAAGACCACATTATATAGCTTACCTGGGTAATAACAATTGCCTGCAGCAGCCAGTATGCCTCTGCTGCCCTCACCCTCCAGTGAACCAGCATCAAAGCCTGCCTGGATTCCAAGCCCTGTGACTGCCTGCAGGTCGATTTTTAGCCAGTTCCCTAATGAAATGAAGTATTGAGCAGTATCTTGTCAGCCTGACAGTTTCCGCCAATAACTTTTGGATTCGCTGACCAGTTTTCAAATAAATGTGACAGAGGGACCAAAGATTCAATTATACCAAGTTCTGACAGGTTTGATGAAAGTAGGCAAGGGGTGGAAAGAGACACTGCTAGTATCTCCATGAAGAGAAAGCCTGCCATATGATGTCTATTTTCAGTTTTTATATCATCACAAATGATCTTTATAGTATTTTAATAGTTTTTTTTATACTGTTCCATTATTAGACCCCAAAGAATTCACGAGGGAGAGTGGCAGAGGAAGCCAAGCCCCAGCTTCACAATTTCTGCCATGTGAGACCATGGTTTTAATCAAGTAGATAGAAGTTCTGAATGAGTTTTTCTAAGTGAAATTAACCTCCAAGAGTAAGTGTGAAGAACTTAAATCCACTCTGTGCACTGACAGGAGGGAGGGAGGAGGCTGGCTGGAGTTTGGGACACCATATTCCCAGGATGAAGGAGTGATCAGGCTTAGAGGAGAGCAGCCATACGTTGCCTGAGGGGGTGTGGGTGGCCAAGAAAAACCCACTGACAGTGTTAAAAGGGTCTGTTTCGAAAAACTCGAAGCTTCTTGCTGCATAATGAGGTTTTCTTCTCTTACTGGAATAGGGCTTCCAAGAGACCAACCATTTAAAAATACTGAAGCACTCCCTTGGTGCCTGGGAGGGACCTTTTGAGAAAGCATTAGTTTTACAGGAAAGAGCAAATCACATGCTTTATCACAGGGTCAGGCAAGATCAGGGAACGCAGAAGGACAACCCCGAGGGGAGGCTGGGTGCTATCTATTGACAGCAAGATGCCCTGTCTCCGCTGTATGGAGAGTCTGCAGCCTCACCAAGCGGCTGAAGCCACCGTAGCCCGGCTGCTGCGTGCCGCAGAGCAGCGCTCTCTTCCCTCCTGCAGCTGGGGCTGGGAGCCGGCGCTGTGGGTGCTGGAGCTCACAGCCACACTGCAGGAAGGCCACAGACATGTTTTTGAGCGGGCTTCTCATGCAAATCATGGTTACAGAGAATAGTTTCATCTGGTGAAGATAAACCTTTCTTCCTTACATTCGGCAGTGCTGCTGTGTGTGAAGGAGTTAACAGTGAATGTGGTAATTTAACAAAGTCAGGCAAACCTCTGCTCCCAAAAGAAGGGCTCCACAATGCTCTGGGAGGGAGCAGGGTTAACTGTACACGAGATAGTATCTTTGAAGGAGCATTTTCTGGAAGTTCATGAGAAGAAGCTGGTATGTGGCAAGAGTTTTAGTATCATTGCAATGAAGTACTCAGTGAGTGCCTTGTCTGAGTGCTTCAGTTAAGTTAGAGCTTGTCAAGTCACACCAGAACCCCCTGTTAAATTAGCTGTACAATTATTATTAACTAATGAGCTATAAAATAAAAATAAAACCAGAACATACCTCACTTGAACTGGAGGGAGAAACCTCCCTCTGCCCATTCCTAGTGGTGGGTTGTCCTGTTGGCCAAGAGGAGAAGAGGAGAGCAGGTTACCAGCAGCCCGATAGCTGCTGGGTGATGCTCTTCAGGTGAGCTTTGTGTGTTTCACTGCACTGGTCTACAGCTCCCTGCAATTTCGGTGGCACGATGGTGGTCTGCGCAAGTGATCCTGTGCTCTGCCACGAATCCCCCATCAGCAGGGAGCAGCCATACCTCTGGGTCACTGCCTCTGAGCACCAAGCACCCTGTGAAAGGGACCCCCAGCGCACCCCCTGGCTGCACAAGTGGGAGAGAGAAAGCGAGAAGCAGCCCCCCGATGCAGACAGTGTTCCCCTGCCTGGACGGGGCTGGTGCTTTCACTAAGCCATCTGTACGAAGAGGAACAGCTCCGGGTAAGTGAATTTCCTCTGGGAAGTTCAGTCCTTCTTGGTGGAGTGATTGAGTGCATAAAGGTGCAGTTAAGGTCGGGGCAGGATTACAGCCTGGCCTGAAGTTTTCTCCTTAGCGCATACAAAGACCAATAAGGATCAATGATTCCAGTGGAGTAAACTGGCAAGACAACATCAATTTACTTTTTATTGTAACTCACTTTGGCCAGGGTCTGCTCATTCATCCTATATTTCACCCACCCCAAGGCTGGACACTTGTTCTTTTTTCTCCTGTCCTCCTCCTGCCCCCAGACTTTCCTCCGAGTGCGGGGGTCAGTGGGTCTCCTTTCACACCATTTACACATGTACCACCTTGTCCTACCATCCCCGGCCTCTCAGACAGGGAATCCCATTCCTCTCTGCAGGGAATCAGGGAAGTCCAGAGGCAATGAACGTGAACCACCCCTTCTCTCCTCTGAAGTGTATTGCTGCTTTTGCTGTCAGCTTGGAGGGCCCTGCCTCCAGGGCTCCTGCTCTGCCTAGGGCCATTGCTGGCTGGGCTGAAGATCATGGTTTCCTCATGTCTTTGCTGTGACTTGAGCAGAGGAAATCTGGATGTTTGGCAAACAGCTTTTCATGACACCCAATGTTTACACTATCCACAGACATCAGGTTGGTCACAGCTGTTCACGTGGCAGCCATTACTCTTTGCTGTAGGCGCCTGAGTCCAGTGTAAGGTTGGGATGCCACCAGCTCACCTTGCCGCCCGCAGGTGCCAGGGGAGAGGCTGCAGACATGGGGAGAGCAGCATGTCGTTGCCCCTTCACTCCTTACCTGGCATTTGGGGCAGGAGGAGGCCCCACCAGCCAGTCCCTGCCATGTCCTGGCGGGGACATTCTGCTGGGGGCAATGGGCTGAGGGACCTGATCCTGCCACAGGCATTTACTATCTTCTCTAGAAGCAAAAAGGAGCTGGATGGCCAGTTGCCGTATGGCTTTGGCCTTTGCTTAACAGTTTCCACCAGGCACAGAAAGCAACGAGCAAAGAGGACACTCTCATGCTGTGGTTTGTATTGTTTATGACTATCTGTCTTTAGAAGAGCAAATAGATTGGGCAACTCTTGGTAACAGAAGACTTAAATCATGTCACTGATGATACAATTGCCAAATGATGTGAAGTTTGAATCTTACATCTTCACATCTTACCAGTTGAGGTAACTGGTTTTGAGAAATGAAATACACTTGTCTGAGACAAGCCCTCCAAGGCAGTTTTGCTTCCTGAATTACTAAGTGGAAACAGAAGGAATGAGCTCAGAGTGAAAAGCTGGCCAAAGACCTTCCTGGCTTGCCCTGTCCTCTGAAGAGACTATCTCTGCCTCAGGAACTACTTGCCATACAGGAGATCATTTTGCGTTGCTTACACAAATCAAATAATCCAACAAGGAGATGCTTGTGGCGTTCAGCCTGCTGATGCTGCTGTCTGCAGGGCCACAAGGGCCGTGTCCTGCTGCCCCAGGGTATTACTAGTATGTAAGGCCTTTGGGTGACTTTCCGGACATGCCACACGGTACACAGCTAATTCAAGCAGAATCATCTGGCGACTGCAACTGTCCGGTATGAGAACAGCTATGGCTGATCCTAAATGTTCCCAGAATCACAGAATAGCTGAGGTTTAAGTCCACCTCACTGTCCGCTTAGCAAGCCCATACTTGTCTGTGAGGATGTTATGGAAGACAGTGCTGAAACCCTGGCTGAAGTCAAGATAAAAAGCATACACTGCTCTCCCCTCATCCACCAAGCCACTGATCTCATTGTAGAAGGCTATCAGGTTGGCTAAGCACAATTTCCTCTTCATAAATCCATGCTGACTGCTCCTGATGACTTTTTAGGCTTTCATGTGTTTGCAAACAGTTTCCAGGAGGATTTTCTCCATCACCTTCACAGATTTTGAGGTGGGGCTGGCTGGCCTGTAGTTCCCCAGATCTTCCTTCTTGTTCTCCTTGAAGACAGGGGTGACATTGCTTTTTTCCAGTCTTCAGGAAACTCTCCCAGACACCACTATTTCAAAGTTTATGGAGAGTGGCCTCACAATGACGCCTGCCAGCTCTCTTAGCACTCATGCGTGCATCCCATCAGGGCCCATGGACTTACGTATGTCGGGTTTGTTCAAATGCTCCCTAACCTGGTTCTCCTGCATCGATGGTGACTCCTTCTTGCTCCAGGAGGTGAGCAATGTTGGGGAAGTTTACCTTGTGAAAGACAAAAACCCCATAGTGCCTGGGGACTGCAGCAGCCCAGGGAGAAAGCGGCACTGTATTGAGTCAGGGGCAGTCTGCATAGCTTGCACAAGAGCCAGGTCCAAACTGCTCAGGGTGTTCAGATATGCAATGTTAATATCCTATTCATGCTCTGCTTTGATTACTGATTGCATCTATTTTTACTCTGACACTAGCAGACTTCCTTCATTTTTTCTTCTTAAATAAACTGTGCCACCTTCCCATCCTCCTCTGCCTCTCCTGGGTCCCCACACTAGTCGCTACCCTGCCACGTAAAGCCTGTTCCTGGCACAGACAGGCCATAATCCCTGCTGAGATCCACCACAGGGGTCACTTCTACATTTTGCTTGCAATAAAGTAAAACACATTAGATGGCCCCATTCTAACTCCTTGACCATAATTACTTAAAAAGCCCCAAATGACTAGATTGAGGGGAAGCAGAGCAAAATTTCCAGGAGTACCAGACACACGGATTAGTAAACCTCCCAAAGGCCAAGAGGAAAGAAAAGCTTTGTATAATTACTTGGAGTGTATCCCCTAAAGCTTCCTCAGCTGGAGTCCTTTCTACCACCAGCAGTTTGATACACTTGTTTCATTTAAAAATACAGAGAATGTATTTAGGATCATATTTTAGAAAATAGTCCATAACCTTTCAGTTTACATAAAACAGTTCATAGCCTCAGCCTGCCAAAGGGCAGGGGCTTTGTACAAGGGGTTGAAAATGAAAATATCTGGCTGTGCTCAGTCTGACCTGCAATTCTTTTCACATGCAAAGGGAGAGGTCCCGGGGAGAGGAAGGCCGGAAGAAATGCAGGGTACATGCCCACAGCTGGAGAGATGTGGGTCAAATCCCTGTTCTGCCTTCTCATCTCCCCATTGGTATGACTGATACAGAAGCATTGCCCTTTCTCACAATGGTATTCTGAGGATAAATACACTAAAAAATGGAGGTGTCCACCTGCTGCCTTGTATTATTAAGATAGCTCCTTCTGATTATATGTCTAGATTTCATCTTTAAATGCTGCATGAGTAAAAAAAAATACCCATAAAAGCTGTGTTTCTGTAAGATACAGTCTGGCTGATGTACCATTCTTAGCAACATTGCTGTGGTTCTCTGATGGCCTCAGAAGAGCCCTTACATATAAAAATACTTGCTTCGGAGCAAGTGCAGGGATTACGCCCGAAGAACTACCCCTATAAAGTGCTTTCAGAGCTAAGACCTTGGGAAAGCAGTGAGTGTAGACCATCCATGCCATGCAGGGCTATTTGTGTAAGCTTTGGCAGCTACAGCCACCTGAAACACCGATAACCCAGAACAAAACATTTTGTCTGTGTAATCATCCACATCCTAACCTCCTTGCATCTCTGCTGCCTTCCTAATATTTTACTGCAGCTGTGCCTTGCAGAAAACCATTTTCTGCAGCAGAGAATAAGGTTACAGGGTTACCTATGGGTGGATCCTCACATATCAACTGGTGTTTCTTCATGAAGCTACCCTGAATAACCTCAATGTTAAGTAAAATTGCAGTGGATAATGCATTTAGTGCCATCTTTCATCTCTGGTTCTTATCACCACCCAGTTGGGCACCATACCTTAGAGCTGGTTAAAAGAGGCTTAAAGCAGTGACATATATATGATTCTTTTCACATATCCCAAATATGTTGCAAAAAGTCATTTTTGCGAAGGTCAGAGCTGGGATTGGTATCTTTATATTCTGAGCCAAACGGATATAATTTTGGCACTATGTTGACCCACTGTGCTGATTGTACCAAAAGTGGAGGGAGTTGCTGCCAGCACAGAAGTCACTGCAAGAACACGGAAAAGTCAAACTGACCCTGGCAGCTGTAAATCTGGAATGCCTTTCTGCATTTAACCTTAGAAAAATCATGAAGTCTTAGCTTCCTCCTTTTTAAAAAGGAATAACTTGTTCTCCTTAAGCCTGAAATGTGTTCCGCTCAGAAACATACTGGGTGCGATGAACTCTGCATGAACAGGGGCTGGAGGACCCCCCAAACTGCGGGACAGTCCTGGGTGCATGGGATTACGAGCACGGGAGCTGCAAGAAGGCACGGCTCTGCCATGGCAGGTAGCTGCTGAGTGGAGCTGCACTCGCAGGAATAGGTTTCGTTTTGGAAACCTTTTGGTTCAGACTTGAAGGCAAACCAACAGAAAGCTTCCTGCTTCTCAGGCAGAAAGATAGGTTTGGTAGTAATTGTCTTTCAGGAGGTTCGGTAGTAATAGTCCTTTAGGAAGTCTGTGAAACTCAGTAACTGGATGCTACCCATCTTCAAAGACTTAAAAGAAATGGTTGATCTGCAGGAAAGAAAATCAGACATGAGGAAAAAAATGATAACAGTTGGGATTGGGACGGTGAAGCTGTGGAACAGGTTATGGGATCGGTTATCAAATCCCCTTTGCTGGAAGTTTTTAAACACAGAGGAAGGGGTTGGTGGGTGTAAAGGGAACTGATGGTACTTCGGTGCGGGAGCAATGTCTGAGGAGCCTCCCAGCCACACATCTGTGTGGTACCATTGCTGAAAGGTGATGCTAGCAGCGGTGCAGCAGGAAGGTATGGAATTCAGAGGAGAGGCGAGATGAGACAGAGCAGGATAGCAGTGGGCAGGGTCCATGCCCTGCACAGTCCCTCGCTGGTGCGACCGGTTTGGCAGTCGCAGAGGAATCTCAGCTATGGGACAGGCAGACCCGGGGGGCCTGTCTGTCCCTCCGTCCTGCAGCTCACCTCCCGGAGCGCAAGCACTTATGGCTCCTATTGATTTCCCTTTTTCTGTCTTAGAGATGGAGGTTGTTATTACCCTTGATCAAAGTTTCCTTCTCTGAGTTACTGAGCCGAAGAATCATCATAAAACACACAAAGTTTATTAGCGTGGGAGTAACTCAGAGATTAAATAAAAGTTTGGTGAACTGACCTTCACATACAACAGTGGACTGTCATTTTGTGATCTACATTTAGATTTTTTCCACATAAAACAAATCACTACACATCCCCTGTTTCACAAATTGCAATAAACATTTTGAAACACTCTCTCTATATAATTTGTTCTTGTCTCGTAAATGTCTCTGAACTCCACCCTTCGCAATGAGAGTGGTTTCCCTAGTAACTAATATATTCCAAAGTCTTTTAAAAAAAGAGGGAATCTAAAAAGACAAAAACAAGCAAAAAAAAAAAGACGAATGATAAGACTGAACCTGTTCAACGGACACAAGATATACCACAGTCTGAGGTACTGTGAAGTTTTTATTGCCACTTGTTTCATAATGCTGTCCTCCGAGAGTCATCCCAATAAAAGGTTTATTTTGCCTCAGACCACTCTGCAGGCAGGGCAGGGCACGGTTAGGACCGCCAGCTGGGCAGCCCATGGAGCCGAGGCTCTCTACCTTCATGGTGGTTAAAGGAACCAGCCATGAAATGTGGCTCCAGACATGACATCCCTCAGCTTTTCCTTGCAGAGGTGGCAGAGGGGACGTGTGTCAGTGCCTCCTTCTGTGGGGTGGGGGCCGGCGGCCCCTGAAACCCAGTCCAGAGAGCAGCAGAGACTAGTCATGCAGGAAAATCAGGCAGATGTGAATTATGGGAAAAGATAAAGGAATCTTTGCCAGAGGTCTCTGAGCTGGCTACTAAATTCAGGCAAGAAAATTCATATTCGGCACCCTACTTTTTTAAA